AGACGCTGCACCTATCTGCCGATCGATCTCACGCTCCATTTATCCTTCATTCATGAACAAGACCCCAAGACACTTGAACTCCTCCACTTGGGGTAGGACCTCCTCCCTGACCCAGAGAGGGCACTCTACCCTTTTCCAGCTCAAGACCATGGCCTCGGATTTGGAGGAACTGATCTTCATCCCGGCCGCGTCCCATTTGGCTGCGAACCGCTCCAGCAAAAGCTGTAGATCACAATCTGATGAAGCCAATAAGACCACATCATCTGCAAAAAGCAGAGACGCAATCCTAAGGCCACCAAAACAGATCCCCTCAATACCTTGGCTGCGCCTAGAAATTCTGTTCATAAAAGTTATAAACGGAATTGGTGACAACGGGCAACTTGGCAGAATCCAACTCTCACCGGGAACAAGCCCGACTTACTGCCGGCGATGCGGACCAGGCGCTGACACCGGTCATACAGGGACCTAACAGCCTGTATAAAAGGGCCCGGTACCCCATACTCCCAGAGTATCCCCCACAGGGTTCCCCGAGGGACGCAGTCGAACGCCTTCTCCAAGTCCACAAAGCACATGTAGACCGGTTGGGCAAACTCCCATGCACCCTCCAGGACCCTGCTGAGAGTGTAGAGCTGGTCCAGTGTTCCACGACCAGGACGAAAACCGCACTGCTCCTCCTGAATCCGAGGTTTGACTATCCGACGGACCCTCCTCTCCAGAACCCCCGAATAGACCTTACCAGGGAGGCTTAAGAGCGTGTTTCTCCTGTAGTTGGAACACACTGTACGGTCCCCCTTTTTGAATAGGGGGACCACCACCCCCGTCTGCCAATCCAGGGGAACTTCCCCCAATGTCCATGCAATGTTGTTGTTGTTGTAAGCCAACACAACCTTACAACATCCTGAGCCTTAAGGAACTCCGGGCGAATCTCATGCACCCCTGGGCCCCTGCCACCGAGGAAGTTTTTAACCACCTCGGTGACCTCAGCACCAGAGATTTGAGGGCCCGACCCAGAGTCCCCAGGCTTCGCTTCCTCAGTGGAAGATGTGCCGGTGGGATTGAGGAGGTCTTCAAAGTATTTCACTCACCGACCCACAACATCCCGAGTTGAGGTCAGCAGCACACCACTCCCACTATAAACAGTGTTGGTGGCGTACCGCTTTCCCCCCCTGAGACGCCGGATGGTGGACCAGAATTGCCTCGAAACCTTGTGGAAGTCATTCTCCATGACCTCTCCTAACTCCTCCCATGCCCGAGTTTTTGCCTCAGCAACCACCCGAGCCACATGTCGCTTGGACTGCCGGTACCCATCAGCTGCTTCTGGGGTCCCACAGGCCAAAAAGGCCCGATAGGACTCCTTCTTCAGCCTGACAGCATTCCTCACTGATGGTGTCCACCATCGGGTTCGAGGGTTGCTGCTGCGACAGGCACCGACAACCTTGCGGCCGCAGCTCCAGTAAGCCGCCTCAACAATAGAGGCACGAAACATGGTCCACTCAGACTCAATGTCTCCCACCTCTCTCGAAACATGTTCGAAGTTCTCCCAGATTTGGGAGTTAAAACTCTGTCTCACATGAGACTCTGCCAGACGTTCCCAGCAAACCCTCACAATACGTTTGGGTCTGCCAGGTCTGACCGGCATCTTCCCCCACCATCGGAGCCAACTCACTACCAGGTAGTGATCAGTGGACAGCTCCGCCCATCTCTTCACCCGAGTGTCCAAGACATGTGGCTGCAGAGCAGATGAGACGATGACAAAGTCGATCATCGAACAGCGGACTAGGGTGTCCTGGTGCCAAGAGCACATATGGACACCCTTATGCTTGAACAAGGTGTTCGCTATTGACAATCCATGACGAACCAGCTTGAACCCCAACACACAGGCACCAAGTTGGGGGGCAATAAGTATGCCCACTCCTGCTCTGCGCCTCTCACCAGGGGCAACTCCAGAGTGGAAGAGTGTCCAACCCCTCTCAAGGAAACTGGTTCCAGAGCCAGAGCCATGCGTAGAGGTGAACCCGACTATTTCTAGCCGGAACCTCTCAGCCTCACACACCAGCTCAGGCTCCTTCCCCACCAGTGAGGTGACATTCCACGACCCTCGTGACCCAAAATGGAAGAAGCAGGTAAAAGATAATGGATGGAAACATCAGAAATTTATTTATTACTAAAGATGTTTTTAAAGTCAAGAGGAACAATATATTATATATAAATATGAACATTTATTTTGGTTTTCATGTATGAAAATAAATAGAAATGTTCAAAAAGATTAAAAATAATAAAAATAAAAAAAAAACAGCTGGACTTCTATTCTGCAGTTGAAGATGTTTTGGTTCCCGTTCATGGAGCTTTCTCAATTTGACAATGTGGAGAGTGTTGTCAGAGGAATTTAGGTAAAGTTTATGGATGCTTATCGCTAATGTGTAAATTAATGTTGAACCATGTATGTGAAGTGTGTGAGGTCAGAGAATCTTTTGTCTGCTCAGAGAGGAGCCTACACGCCTACAGGAGGAACACCTGATAACTCCAAGGCCTTCACCTCATCTGTAACATGGAAACTCGAGGTCGTCTTGACCTCGCCTCTGTCTGATAAGCGTGCATTATAAAACACTTCCTGCTTCACTGTCCGGTGAGACTCTCACTGACGAGGCTCTAAGCATGTAACTTTTATACATCTGTGAAAGCCTTCTTGTGACAGTCTACCCTTGCAAGTAAAGGCCAGTTAAAAATATTCTTGTCCTCAGAGTGGCTGATTTGAGTAAATAGAAATTTCAGTTCAATTCAACAAAGTCCATTCTCAATAATCCAGGTATACAATCCAACAATTTTCAGTCAGGTCATCTGGACAGTTTCTTTTTTTTGTTGTGCTGAAACGTTTCACCTTCCATCCAGAAGGCTTCATTAGTCAAGGAAACGCATAACACAAAACTGATTCTTCCCCCTAACAGCTTACCCCAAAGTGGAACAAACCAGTTATGTTGGTGCTAAGTTGGTCATCTGGACAGATGACCTGACTGAAAAATGTTGGATTATATACCTGGATTATTGAGCATGGACTTTGTTGATTTTGAACCAGTTTGACATGACTTTTGATGAGGGAGCGGGCTGGCACTGGAGGAGGGGGTGTGCCAAAGAGACCATCTTTTTTGTTTGTTTGTTTGCTTTGCTTTGTTTTGTTTTTTGAATGTCCAGAGGACCAGATTTCACTTTTTTTTAGATTTTTCTACCTGGATTATTGAGCATGCATCAGGATGTAACTGGTTTGTTCCACTTTGGAGTAAGCTGTTTGGGTGAAGAATCAGTTTTGTGTTGTGTGTTTCCTTGACTGATGAAGCCTTCTGGATGGAATGTGAAACGTTTCAGCAAAAAAGGAAACTGTCCAGATGACCTGACTGAAAATTGTTGGATGATTTATACCAATTTAGAGCTGTTCTGTAATTTCAACATCATATTCAAGCCTCTGTAGTAAAATATTGTGATCAACTGTATCAAATGCAGCACTGAGGTCTAACAGGACCAGTATAGACACAAGTCCATTGTCAGAGGCCATGAGAATATCATTAGTGACTTTCACCAGTGCAGATTCAGTGCTGTGGTGAGCTCTAAACCCTGAATGAAACTCTTCAGATTATTTCTTTGTAGATGATCATACAACTGCACCTGCAACTATCTACTCTAGAATTTTTTTTAGATGAAAGTTAGATTATGTTAAAGTTGGCTCTATTATATTGGTCTATAATTGGCCAGAATTCCTTAGTCAAGGTAATGTTTATGTAAAGGTTTTATTACAACAATCTTAAAACGTTGTTGTACGTAACCATTTATTAGAGACAAATTATGATGGAGATGAGATGATGAAGGTATATTTATTTATCCAACATGTGTGGAGTTCCAAGCTTTTTAATCTGCATAAGAAACCCTGTTGTGTAACCTAGCTTCACAAGCAGAGTAAACTAAGTGCCCCTCACAACAGAGAGTCAGTAGTCATTAGGTTGTGTTTACACTGCAAGCAAAAGTGACCCAAATCTGATTTTTTATTTTGCCTATGTGTGACACATATTGCATTTTTTACGACAATCTCATGTAATAATTTTTTTTTCTTTCAACCCAAATCATTTTCATGTGTGGTGCTAAATTGGATACATATCCAACATCATTCAAAGTGACCTCAGTCTGAATGGTCATGTTGCATTTCATCCAACTTTTACTAAGTAGAAGTATGTGAGTTGATTCATATATTGATAACATTAATGCCAACAATGTGTAGTTTAAAGCTAGGAACGCTACACATCCTCAGCAACAGAACAGACGTGGCTTGGTCTTTTTTATGCATTTTAGATTCATCATTCATCATTTGCACCAACATATGATACTAAGTGGTTTACCAACGTGTTGGATCCTATCGATACGAGCATGGTTGCATCAATACTTGAGATTGTTCCTCTCCTCTACTTCCAGTACTTGGCCTCTTTCGAAAACTGCAATTCTGCACCTGACAGGAAGTTGCAAGACTAAATGTACACATTCTTCTACACATGTGGGTCACTTCGTGGCCATAGTGTTCACACTGGTGTCTGATGGAGGCTATATTTAAATTATAATGTGAACAACCTTGCAAAAAAGGGATTTGAGCAAGACATCAAAACTGACTCTAAGACCTGCAGTGTGAAGGCAGTCTTTGATTGCCTTGTTCACAAAAGAGATGCTCTGGGCGCTTGGTCCATGGTGTAGATGTGAACTACAGGGAATATTACACCAGTAAACCATCAAAATACCAACATTTTATTAACTAATAAAGTTCAGCACAAGTACAGTAAAAACAGAATGGTGTAACAATATACAGACAATAAATAGACATTAAATAAATAATTATATGTCCCTCTCTTTTTTTCCACACTTTGAAGAGGATCAGTAACATTTTTTCACACATGAAATGAAGCAATAATAAATATTTACAGTTTTTACTGAGTCAAGTATTGATCTAAAATGCCCATCTTTCTGCAAGGCTTCAGTCAATATTTTTATCTAGAGGTTAGAGGTAACCTGAAAAAGTTTTATGGATGGGTGGATGGGGTTCTCAGGCACAATGACATTTACTGACGATGAGGTCGTTGAATGGCGTCAGTTTCAATCGTCCCCTACTGTCATAGTGCATCAGCACCATAGGCTCATAGGCTGCCGGCACACAGCAGGGATGAGGCGTCCCTCCTTTGGTGATTTGGTGGAGCCGGGACTTGACCTGCGTGTGCATGCTCGCAGGCTTATAGTTGTGGGGGCAAGCACCGTCACAATAATGCATTGTATATTCTGTTGGGGCCACCACCCAGTCCGTCCAGCCGATGTCTTTGAATGACACGGTTAATGACTTCCTGCAGCACAGTCCCTGTTCGTCACAGACGTCTTCCTTGTTGGAGCGACGCAGCCTTGCTCCTTGTGCAGGATGAGCTCCCATCAGGCCCAGCTCCAGAGTAATAACTGGACTTAGCTTGTGGTCATCTCGCTTGAGTTGATTTATTCCAACATCTACAACCAGTGGCTGACCATCAGTCCTCATCCATCTCTTCACCTCTGGGCTGATGTCCAGCATCAGTTCTTGACTGCTTGAAGCTTGACTTTGTACCCCTGAGTGTGTGTTGGTTCCCAGAGCAGAGGTCACTGGTTTTATCCCGTTGATTTTAACTTTAATCTTCTGGCTCACCTCAGAGTTAGTGTTGTTCTCATCTAAAACATGCGTGGAAAGTTTCAGTTGTGCCTGGGATAAAGTCATGTCACGCTGAATATTTGGATTCTTCTGAAAAATAGCTCGATACCAAGTGATCCGATGGCCCGGGCGGGGATAGACCCTCCATAGCACTGGCTTCACTAAAAACAAACAAACAAACAAAAAACTCAATGAAAAGCCACTTGAAAACATTCTTTTGAAAGGATACATTTAACAACTTTCAAATTAATCTTAAAATGAAGTTCATATTTTTTAAATGTTGTTCAAAAGCCTCTCATTAAATTAATAAAACCAGAGGAAGCACATCTGCAGGAATGCAGAATGAATTTGCTGAACAAGAAACTGTCTTTAATTAAAACAAGCGGAACAGAAGCTAAAAGCGAAATGCAGGTGAACACAAACTAAACACTAAAAGCAGCAGAACAGCAGCTAAAAGCACTAAAACAGTAGCTAAAATTAGCACAACTTCATCTAAATGTAGCAAAAGAGAAATTCAAAGGAGCAAAGATGTAGCTAGAAGACTAAACCAATGCTAAAGCTAGACAGTAAATGCACTCTACAGCACAATGGTTTAGTGGTTAGCACTGCTGTCTCATAGCAAGAGGGTCCTGGGTTCAATCCCAAGGTTGGACCTGGGGTCTTTCTATGTGGAGTTTGCATATTCTCCTCATGGGTTTCCTGGGTACTTGTGGGAGGAAACTGGAGTATCTACCGAAAACATGAGGAGAACATGCAAACTCCACATAGAAAGACCCCAGGTCCAACCTTGGGATTGAACCCAGGACCCTCTTGCTGTGAGGCAACAGTGCTAACCACTAAGCCATTGTTCTGCCCAACATTGTCATCCAAAAATAGTTCTGTTCAAAGTGCAGTGTAATGTTCAAGGAGTGCCTGTCATGCTAAAGATTCCTGAAAACCTGCAGTATTTGTTTTCTGTCAGTCTTCAGTCCAAACTGGTCCCAGTAACCACAAATGTTGACCTACTATACATAAACATTTGATTAAATTTGTCACCACATCAGTAGTTGTGGTTCAGTCTACAACACATTGCAGTAATTATTACCGTCTGCCCAAAGACAAAAGCAGGTGACAAAGTTTCTACCCAGGTCTGTGGGTTTGTTTCCGTCTGTCACCAAAATATGTCATGAACCTGTGGACAAATTCAACAAAACTTCTAGGAAATAATATTTGGATGCACATCTACAACTCGTTGACCTCCAAAGTAACTTGAGCTTACCTTAGTAAACACAGAATTACCTGCTACTCAGTCAATCTCACAGACATCGAGCTACAGTTTGGTGTGGTAGCAGGTGCGGTTCTTAAACACATACGCTGATGTTACATCTTGTATTTTTTATAAGACTAAGCATAACCTTGTTTTTAAGGTTTGACCAAAATGGCCACAACACAGTTATGTCTTACAAGATGCTCTCAGTTGAAAACTCTGGCATGAAAATCTATGAATGTTATGGAGTTATTCTACCAATGCTAGGTTTTAATTCTCCCAGTTTACTACTACTTCTGACACCTGACTTAAGTTTGTTCCTAACAACCCTTCACCAGTACCTGGAAAAAGGACAGCAGTGGTAGAGGTCTGCCTGGCCATCCTCACTTGTCGGCTGGCATTTCTCTTCATCTCACTTATTTGTTCCCTGTAGAGCTGAAGCATCTTCTTCAGCTCCTGCTGTGAGGCCTTTGGAGTCGGCCAGGGCTCTCTGTCCAAACCCAGAGATCTGAGGATCCCCGTCTTAACTGCATCCAGAATCAGGACCTTTTGGCTGTCTGTCCCAGCTGTGGGAGACCAGCTCTCCTTTGAGGTGGAGCCTGAGGTGAGGAGGAGGAGCAGCAAGGAGCAGGAGATGAGTCTGAGGGGTGTGTGTGATGTGAGCATGGTGAGCCTACCAGTTGGGTCTGGTGCGTGAGTGTTGACGCTCCGTGGAGTGGGTTGGTTCATGTTGTGGGAAAACTTCCTCGCATGCTTTTATTTATAGAGCCTCTGCTTGGTCCCGCCCCCGCTCGTTCCTGAGTGGTCAGCCAGGACCACATGTGCACATGAGGCAATATTTTGAAGTTACATGTAACGAGACAAATCTATGAAAGGGGAGTTTTAAACATTATCACCTGCTGCCAGATGGCAAAGACAGATGATACTGTTTCAGCTCAAGTTTCTCTCTGCGTGCGCATGTGTGTGTGTGTGTGTCTGACAGTGTTAGCAAAAATATCTCATGAATCACTGGACTAATTCCAGTGAAACTTGCAGAAAATAATTATTGGATGTACAACTGAAACTGATTAACTTTTGAGGTCAACCCAATTCAAGATGGCTGCCACAGCCACCTGAACTTGGAAGACACAAAAATGGCTAATTCACACATATTTACCAAACATTTGATGTGTTTGTGACTCAGACTGATACCGACGTGTTCTGGCTGCTGGAGGATTGTATAAGATCTTTGTTTAAAGTTTTGCCATCAATGTTTTATGGTCAACTCTGTCTGTTACAGGACATGTCTTTCTCCCCCACATTAAAACGTTACTAGAACCTCCTTCTTCCACCTGCGTAATATCACTAAAATTAGAAACATCTTATCTAAAAATGATGCAGAAAAACTGGTTCATGCATTTGTCACGTCTAGACTGGACTATTGCAATGATTTATTATCTGGGTGTTCACCAACATCTTTAAAACGTCTTCAGTTGATCCAAAATGCTGCTGCCAGAGTCTTAACTGGAGTTACTAGGAGAGATCATATTTCTCCAGTTTTAGTTTCTCTCCAATGGCTCCCTGTCAAATCCAGAATAGAATTCAAAATCTTACTTCTAACCTACAAAGTCCTCAACAACCTGGCTCCATCTTGTATTTGAGATCTTATTGTTCCATATTTTCCTAACAGATCACTTCGCTCTCAGACTGCAGGTTTACTCGCAGTTCCTAAAGTTTCCAAAAGCAGAATGGGAGGAAGATCTTTCAGTTATCAGGCTCCTCTCTTGTGGAACCAACTTCCAGTTTCTGTCCGTGAGGCTGACACATTGTCCAGTTTTAAGACTGGACTTCAGACTTTCCTTTTTGATAAATCCTATAGTTAGGGTCGGCTTGTTACACTGCTATAGGCTTGCAGCTGTCATTTCTAACCCGGGCCCAGGCCCAGCCTAGCCCGGCCCAACAGGAAATTTGGCCAGGTTGGGCCAAAATAATGTGATGGATGGGTTGGCCAGGTCGGTGTCAGGCTTTTGATTGCGTAAGCGGCTGATGATCCTATTTGGATCACCAGCCACACGTGGCCGGTTGACCACGTGCTGACCGGCCGGTTGAAAGAGGTAAAAAAAAAAAAGTTAACCTTCAGATGGCTCACTGCTAGTAACCCACTTGAAGCTTAACTGGACTCAGCTGCTGCATCAGCGGACGTGTGCGGCCGATGACCCAATTTGTATCATCATCCACACGCATCCGCTAACCGTTAATAACTATAATACTATAATATTATAATAATTATAATAATCCATTGACTCTTGTTAATAAACAAAATTTTATATCTTCCTTTGTTTTAAATATGTTTTAAAATCATATCAAACTGATTTGCTTACAAAAGTAGTAAAAGCTTCATTTAATTTTTTTTTTTTTCGGGTTTGGTACTCTAATTACAGTTAATAGGTTGGGATGGGCCAGAAAAATTGATACGGGTTCAGGCCGGGCCGGATTTTTTAGGTCTGAATGCAACTCTTGCTTAGACCACTGGAGGACAAATTGACCTCGTTTCCTTAAATGAATTGTTAAAATTGAATAGTTTTCATTTTATACTATTTCTATCTTAACATGTGATTCTTGACCTGCCATTGTGTATCTGTTCCTACCAACCCCAGCCGGTCGAAGCAGATAGCCGCTTGTCCTAAGCCTGACTCTGCTAAAAGTTTCTTCCTCATGAGGCCTGTCACGATAACAAATTTTGCTGGGCGATTAATTGTCTAAGAAATTATTGCGATAAACAAGAATATTGTTTGAAATTTGACAATAATTAGTCATTCTTGTCATATTTAAGAAAAAATGTTAATTTGTTTAATGTGTAGTACCTTTTTAGATCACTAGATGGCAGTATAAGACTGCCTGAACTGAAGGATGGATAGTGAGGGAGCGAGCAGCGTGTCTCTTTAATAGAAATGGGAGGGAGGCCTCTTGACGTGACATGGGCCGTCTCTCTTTCCTGTTTTTTGGTTCTCAAAATGGCGGACGCTCGGTGTGGTTTGAGCTCTTCAGCATAGCATTTTTCACACAAAGCTTTTAATAAAAAAAATCAGTAAACAAGTTCTCAGCTTCTTTTTGCAGAGAAAAACAACTTTTTACATGAAAGCATGGGTTTCAACCGTGAATTTTGGAGCTTCAACAAGATGGAGGTTTTTTCCCTGAGATCAGCCTGTTAGCTTAGCTTCTCGGCTTAGCTGCTTTTAACGATCCAAAAACACAACTTTGGACGGTTAAAACTGATTTTAAAGAGAAAAGAGAAAGGGAGGAGTCAGTGAAGAGAACCGGAGTTGAGCCTTTTGTCATCCAGTGTCCAGTAGAAAGAGAGAGACGAAGAAACAATAAAGCCGTTAAATGAAAATGAGATTGATAATTTTCATTTATCATGCGATTAATTGATTTATTGTGTTTCGCGACAGGCCTAGTCATGAGGGTGTTTTTCCTTACCACTGTCGCCTTCGTGCTTGCTCAAGATGAGAGTTCTGTGATGGTGTTAAATTTAAAGCAGTCTGCAGCACCTCAGATAAATAATGCTAACTTGATTTTTTAATGCATATGAATGTTTTTGTTCAACACCCTGAGATGATTTCTTATGTGACTTGGCGCTATAAAACTGAATTGAATTGAAATTGAATTGTTACCAAATTATCTCTTGAACCACTTTTAAATTTCAATGAAACTTTTAGGAAATGATTATTAGATATACATTTATAACTGAATAACATGTGGAGCCAACCCCATTCAAAAGACTGCCACAGCTAACTCAACTTAGAAATCAAAAACATCACTATGATCATATAAATATGGCTACAGTTCAGTCTCTTCTATATAGAGTATGGTAGCATTTGTCATGGCTGTAGCACAGAGTTATTTACAACAAATGTTTTAAAAGCTTCTCACAGTCCAAAATCTTTGCCTAAAATGTTTGCATTAACTGTTAGATTTAACCCTGTTAGCCGGTTAGCTAAATATGCCATAAATCACTTGACAAATTTGTTGAAACTCTCAGAAAGTAAACATTTCATGTATGTCTGTTACTCATTAACTTTTGGAGTCAATCCAAATTCAGATGGCTGGCACAGCTAATCGAGATTAGCCAACACGAACCGACTTGTTTAACAGAGACTGACCTAAAAGTAGAAGCTGTGGTAGTAGCTGAGAGTCGTTCACAACACATACTCTGAAACTGACATCTTGTGATATTGTACACAACGTTATATTTAAGGTTTTAAGGAGCTTTTGTGTCTGAAGCCAGTGACCTCTATCTCCTCCTTTGGTCAGGCTATTATACCAGCTGGGATCTGATGTCGATGATGGTTCAGACTTTTTCTTGACGTTCAGCTGGCTCTTCAGGACCTTCCTTACTCTTTCTAGATACTTGGTTGTGGCTGACTTTCTTGCAGCCTTGTCATGATTGTCATTTGCCTGTGGGATTCCAAGATATTTGTAGATGTCCTGGACATCTGCAATGTTGACTTCAGGTAGTTTAGCACCTTCAGTTTTGATCATCTTGCCTCGATTGCAAACCATTCGACTGCATTTATCCAGTCCAAATGGCATTCCAATGTCCTTGCTGTATATCCTGGTGAGGTGGACCAGTGAGTCGATATCTTGCTCACTTTGGGCATTAAGCTTGATGTCATCCATGTAGAAGAGGAGAATGATGACAGTTCCACTTAGGAACTGGTCTCCATAGCCACTCTTTGCAAAGATCTGGCCGAGGGGATTCTCAACCAAACAGAACAGGATATGGGACAGAACATCACTTTGGTTCATGCTGCACTTGATGCTCACATGTGCAATTGGCTTCGAATTGGTAACTTGAGTCATGGAATAGCTGGTGCTTTCCTCCTTTGATGTTGGTGCCAATTTCTGTCTGTGTGTCTTTCAGGTATTGACCCGTTTCCCTAATCATCTTAGCTGCTATGATGCCTGACAGGTGCTTCCATGGGGTACTGAGGCAGGTGATTGGCTGGTGGATGAAATTGACCCTTTCTAGGTAGTTTTTCGTGACCAGTAATGCCATGGGTCAACCAATCTGGATGGGTTCATTCTATTAGCAGCTGGTTCATTTGTGCTTCTAGGCATTCTTAGCATTCAGTTCTTTTTTTTAGCAAGTAGGTGTGGATCATGTCGCCACACCTAAGACGTCTTGGATGTCTGCCACTGTGATAGGTACTGGTTCTTGTTCTGGGAGGTTGTTTTGTTCAAACCTTAGATCCTACAGCCATGAAGCTTTATCATTGTGTCATCCACAAAAAACGTTAAATCATGTCATCTGGACAGATTCTTTTTGGAATAATTTAAGTTTTTATGATATATTTACCTGGATGATTGAGTGTACTTACTTTTTTATTGTACGAGTCCTACTTTGGTAAACGCTAGAAAAACTGAACCACCTAAAATAAATAACCATAAATGATAGAAATGCTGGGCTGTATAAAATGAGTAATTGTAAGTGATTAGCAAAGCTGTGCTGCTTAAATGGAAGCTTGCTTGAATGGAAATACATGCAAAAAATGCTGCATTGTCGAAAATGAATGACTGTAAATAGGAAAAACTGCACTTCCTAAAATAAGTTACCTTAGCTGTGCTCCCTAGAATGAATTACTATAAACGTGGGAAAAGTTGCACCACTTAAAATGTCACAGTAGATACAGATAGTAGAAAAGCTGTGTTTCCTAAAATAAATTATTGCAAATAATATATCCAGGAAA